TATCCATAATTTGTTATGAACCACACAGTTTTATGCCTTTGCATGGTGGATAAAACACAAGTAAACATCTTTCTGGAAATGGTATTACCAAGAAAATACAATAGGGTAAAGTAATAAAGAGTAACTGGGGCAGGAAGGTGAGTGCCTAATTTATATTATGATACTGAAGAATAAAATAATAAAGAGGAAGATCTTCTGAGAATAAAGCTGAATTGGGGAAAACAAGGCTCAGCAGCTAATAACTAGGAATGGAGAATTCTAAGACAAAGGGAATGATAGTTCCAAATTCTTTTAGGTAGGAGAAGGAGTGGGTAAGGCATTTGGCTGCTAACCAGAAGATTCATGGTTCAAACCCATCAGCTGCTCTATGGGAGGAAGATGAGACAATCTACTTCCATAAAGATTTACAGCCTTGGAAAACTGATGGGGTCACTATGAGTTGGAATAGACTCAGTGGCAATGAGTTTGGTTTTTGGTCTTTTAATTGGGAAGGAACTATGCATATTTAACATATAGGAGGCTGGAACATCTGACTGTAGTAGAAGTTGAGAGGAATGGCAAAGTACGTAGGGACTGAAGCATATATGGCCATGTAAGCCACATTAACTAATTTATAAGTGCAATGGGAAACCTTAGGCACTACGCCACCTAAGAGAAGGGAGGAATTAAGGATGGCTCCCAAGGTAGTACCATTAACTGAATTTGAGAATAAAGGATTGTGGTAATTTGCATTTTTGTCTCAATTCCTTTTTTTTAACTTTTATTATGGTGAAAACATACACAACATGACATTTGGCAACATACCACTTCCACAATTACAGCTCAGGGATATTGATTACATTTTTCATGTTGTGCCACCATATTGCTATCTTTTTCCAAAATATTCCACCACATTTTTGGTCTCAATTCTTCATCCTTCCCTATATTCACATCCTTTGCCACATGTGTTGTTTTGCAATGCTGTCCCAGAGTGTCTGGGCATACTTCTTTGACTCTGAGCTTAAGCATGTGACTAGCTGGGATGTTAGTAGATATGGCTCCCACTTTTCCACATCTGTCATCATCACAGAAGGCTGGTGGTTCAAACCCACCAGCCACTTCTCAGAAAGAAGATTGGGCAATCTACTTCCATAGTGATACTGCCTCAGAAACCCAAGGAGGGGTCGCTATGAGTCGGATCTGACTCGACAGTAGTGCGTTGTTTGTTATTATTTATACCTCTGTTTGGGGAACTATCACATAGGTGTTATGAATCTGATTTGAGGTCCAGTGGTGCCTGATGCTGGTAGGGAGTCAGGGTAAGGTCTGGTGGTATGTGCCCACAATAAGATTAACTAAGGAATAGGGCTCCACAATCATCATCAATGGAAGCAGCAGTCAAGATATCAGACAACATACTGCACGGGGCATATCTGCTGCAAAAGACCTTTTTAAAGTGCTGAAGAGCAAAGATGTATCTTTGAAGACTAAGGTGCACCTAACCCAAGCCATGGTATTTTCAATTACCTCATATGCCTATGAAACCTGGACAGGGAATAAGGAAGACCAAAGAAGAGGTGATGCTTTTGAGTTGTGGTGTTGGGGAAGAATGCGGATAGTACCACGGACTGCCAGAAGAACTAACAACTCTGTCCTAGAGGAAGCACAGCCAGAATGCTTTTTGGAGGCGAGAATGTCCAGACTTCTTCTGACCTACTTGGGTCATGTTGTCAGAAGGGACCATTCACTGGAAAACAATATCATGCTTGGTAAAGTGAAGGGTCAATGAAAAAGGGGAAGACCGTCAATGAGATGGACTGACACAGTGGCTGCAACAATGGGCTCAAGTATATCAAGTATTGTGAGGCTGGCACAGGACCAGGCAGTGTTTCGTTCGGTTGTGAATAGGGTTGCTGTGAGTTGGAGCCGACTCGATGGCACCTAACAACAACAATAAGGAGTGTGGCCCACAAGGGGAGACGGGGAGCAGAGATGATGTTGCATTATCCAGCATTTGGCTATACAGGATGGGGTCTGGGAGCCATTTTGGGGAGCTACAGCCATGCCTGGTGTGGTAGCTATGTTTGTATGTCAATTTGGCTGGGCCTGGTTGAGTCGCTGGTAGTAGTTATTCCCCATGATGAGACTGGCAATCAACTCCATGGTGGGATTTACCACAAGCAGCTGAGTAGCTACCATGGGGATGTGATCTGCTTCCTGTACATAAGGAGAAGCTTTGGGATGGGTCTCTAGCCTATGGCATGCTTGGACCCTGAATGTAGCCGTACCATTGCTCAGCAGCCTGCTATACTCTGCTGGCCTTGGGACTTACAATAGACTTAAGTTAATGGCCTGCCGTGTGGTTTGGCAACATCGGGGCTGTGCCTTTTTACTTGTCAAACTTGGGGCTTCTCGGCCACAGCAGCCAGCAGCTGAGTGAAGAAACATCTCTAGCTCCAGTGGGCCAGGAGCAGGAGGCAGGGCTGCACACCAAGGTTGAGGGGCTTTCACCCAGCCCCTAGAGTCTGGCACTTTGAACTTGGACTTAAACCCTCCAAATTGTAAGCATAAACTCCTGTTTGTTAAGGCCATCCCATTTGTGGTATGTTTCCTGTCAGAATGGCACTAGGTAACCAGAACACCTGGTACACTAGCCAACCCCAGCTGATCCCAGCCATGTGAGCAATAAGCACTATGTTTATGTCACTGAGGTTTTAGGGTTGTAGCAACAGATAACTGATACAAGGGGAAACAGATTTCAGGGGACATGGACTTATTCTGATTTATGGGTATTTTAATAGAGGAAAAGATTCAAACAGTGTCTCCAGAGCTCCTCAATAGAAACACTTATTAAGACTTGAACAGGACAAAGACAAAGTCTTCAGGGTGAGGGAAACCATCAGCATGTATGCAGTACAGAAAAGCTGAATGGAGTCCACTGAGTCACAGCCATGGGGCTAATTATATATGATTGAAAACAAAGGAATCACCACAAAATCATGATTGGTGGCAGATTAATTCATCATTGTTGCAGCTGGGACTACAGAAGTGGGGAAAGGACCATGACTGGTATACATACATAATTGAAGATAGAAAAGGGTTACAGAATTAATTCTGGATCTTGACTACCTGATTAGGTGGTAGTCAGGATATGACTCATGACTATGTGGCCTGAGTCTTAGCCATAAGGCTTCAAAACAATACCAGGACCCCAACTTTAATTTAAATCAGAAAAGGATGCATTCAGTCAAGTTCCCTAGGTCTTGGTGCGAGCATACTATACCTCCAACTATACTCTTCCTGAGTGCAAACTGCCCTTCCCTAGGTTTGTCCTGAAACTTGTCTGTGCATGGCCATAATGCTGGTTTCATGGTCAGAAAGAGCTCAAAGGGCATCTGAAACTTTTGTCAAGCCTCAGAATGGAGCTAGGGCTCCCACTGTAGCTCAAAATGGAGCTAGGGCTCCCACTGTAGACCACAACCCTCCACAAACCCAAGTGCTTTAGAATTTAAGCTCTAATACAACATGAACAATTTGAAATGTTCAGTGACATCTGGGTCTTGAACTCAATGGGCACTTAGATTCTATGAATCACTGGCATATATATCAGGGAGCTGAGCTGTTAGGTGTCAGAGTGCCTGATTAAAATAGTGAGCCAAAATGAAATAACAGTGATCCACTTAATCACTTACTGCAATTACATAAGCAAGAGATTAAACTCTAAAAAGGCACCAGCTCCCCCTTTCAGTATTTCCCCAGAAATGACCCTTGTGCACCTGGGCAAGGGTCAGGTGGATTAGCACACATGTGAGGACCCATTGCACTGCCAAGGCTCCTGCAGTTTTAGGGACCTCAGGAGTCAAGAGGAGGGCAAGGGGGGAAGGCTAGTAGAGGAAAAGTATCAAGTACTGAATCAGAGTTATGAAGTGTCTTCAAGGTCTCCCCCACAACACACTTTTGCCTGAAAAGGAGGCATCAGCTGAGGCACCTGAGGAAGGTGTCTGCCCAGGGCCCCAGTAAAGATGCCACTGTGTGGAGTTGTCTGGGCTAGGAATGCACATATGCAAAAGAGCATAGGCTGACTCTTTGACTGCAACTCCCTCCAGAGACTGCAATGCATGCCTGTGCCCCAAGTCTGGTTGGGCGGGGGTGGGGGTGGGGATGGGGGTTGGGGGTTGGTGAGCAGCTTTCATCCTGAGGCCTGTCAGATAAAGCCTTTGTAATCACCTGTAGTCCATCCTGAAAGATCACACATAGGTTATAGGTTTTTGGTCAGGAGCCAGACTCCTCAGTCTCTGTAGCTCAGGCTGTGAATATAGATGAGGTTAACTAGTGAAAATATATAGAATGAGAAGAAGAATTTATATGACTGAACCCCGAGGAAGACCTATATTTGAAGGACTCATTGAGATTGAGAAGGAATGCTCAGAGACATCTGAGGAAAACCAGAGAAGAGTGATAGTGTGAAAACCAGGTTTAATAAGAAAGGACTGCTTAGCAATGCAAATGATTCAGAGAGGCAAGGTAGAGAGCATTACACTCATTTTACAAATGAGGTTTGGATAGGGGAATTGAGTTACACATGATCATCATTCTAACCAGTAAATAGCAGTATGGAAGCTAGAACCTTGATCCTTTGATTCATAACCTAGGGCTTTATCATTTATATCATACTGTTTTTCTTCAGTGTGTACTTACGATCCTCATAAACACATTATTAGAATAATTGTAAAGTATATTTTACCTATGAAATGTTAAGACAAAATAATACAGTTTTAATATTTAGAATTACATGACCATTAAAAAATGAGAACTATGTAACTCTGGGTTTCCTCTGAGATTATATATATTTTTTTTAACTTTATTGCATGTTTCCTTCTATTTATCAATTTTTCTATAGCTGATAAATATATTGTTTTATATTAAGCAATTTTCCTACATGCATTATGCATTAAAACAATTACTTTCCTTTCATGTTTAATATCATGAATTAATAATGAAACTATTGCTATATATTACAGAATGAGCTTCATGAACTTGAAATACAAATAGCATCTGTCTCTGCAGAAACTAAAGACACAGAAAGGCAAATTTATCAGCAAGATGCTGCCATAGAGAATACCAAACTTCACTGTAGAAGCCTGGAAACTCAAATCAAATCCTTACATACAGAAAATGTAAAGCTTCAGTTTGACGTAGAAGCAGCTCAAGAAGATTTTGAGGAACACATGATAAGATATAATGCATATTATGCAAAAATGAAAGCACATAAAGATAGTTTGGGAGAGATAGAAAGCAAATGGTCATTCATGATGGAACTTTATGAAAAACGAGATCTCGTTAAAAAACTAAAGACAGAGAAAGAGGAACTTATGAAAGATCTTCAAAATCCAGAAGGAAATCGGATAAAGCAAGTACAGGTTTGAACTATCATCAAAATTTTTTTTTTATTATACTGTTTTTTTAAGTATATGATAAATGTATCCTTAAGTTATGTATTAGAACTTAAATTCTAAAGCGCTAGGGTTTGTGGAAGGCTGTGGTCTGCAGTGGGCTCCCTGACTCCATTTTGAGGCTTGACATAACTTTCAGACGCCATTTGGGTTCTTTCTGACCATTAAACCAGCATTGTGGCGATGCATAGACATATTCCAGGACAAACCTAGGGACAGGCAGTTTGCCTTCAGGAAGAATGTGGTTGAAAGTAGATTATGCTCATACAAAGAACTAGGGAACTTGCTTGAGTGTGTCCTTTTCTAATTTATATTAAGATTGGGGTCTTGGTATTGTTTTGTAGCCACCTTGTGGCTAAGACTCAGGCTGTGTGATCATGAGTCACAGCCTGTCCAGACCACCACCTAGCCAAGTAGTCAAGGCCTAGAACCAATCCTGGAAACCTTTTCTATCTTTAGTTATATAGTATCCAAATCATGCCCCATCCCCTCACTTCTATAGTCCCACCTGCAACCATGAGGAATCCATGCGCCACCAATCATGTTTTGTGATGATTCCTTTTTATTTTGACCATATATTATTAGCCCCATTGCCATGACTCAGCAGACTCCATTCAGCTTTCTGTACTATGTGCATGTTGATGGTTTCCCTCATCCTGAATGATTGCTTTGTTTTGTCTTTGTCCTGTCCAAGGCTTAATAAAAAGTGTCTCTGTTGAACCTATTTGAATTTAGGGTCTCTTTTCCCTATTACAGTTACTAAAATACTCATAGATTCTCTAACTACGTTCAAGAACTAGTTTTCAAAATTTTTAAATTTTAGACCAGTATGTGAATTATGTAGCAACTATGCCAAATATGCAAATGCATAAAGGAAGCATCCTAATTCCCCTGTGGATTTATAAAAATATATAGACAAACAAAATCACAGTGAACAATTAAACTATTTGTTGAAGAAAGTGTGAATCACAAAAATGCTGAAGCCCTAGCTTCTAAGCTAATGGATTCAGACCAATTCAAATCAATTTAGTATGCCTAATGCTGTTATGCAAACAATATGAATTAATAATTGCACCTTAAGCATGTTTCTATTTCTCTTTCTATTCTCTGAAGACAGTGGGAGATACAAAATTAAAACGTCTATCATTTCTTGCTAGAGAATTAAAAAATATCCTTTATACTGTTGCTGGGCAATTGCCACCATGACGACCACTTTCCTTTATGTGTTGTTTTCATTTGGATTTTAGTTCTAAGTTTTTAGATCTAAGCTTTTTTTTGTTTAAATGACAGTTCTTTATTCTGTATATCTAAAAAATAGAAATAATATCTTAATCCTATGTATCAAAATTAATTGTTATAGCTAGTTTTGTTAAATTGCAGAAACACTAAAAATTTTAGATTTATATTGGCCATTTTTGTTTGACTTGTATATTTTAAATTTTTTTAAAATACAGGAAGACATTACAAAGCTAAGTGATAAAATTATAATGATAAAAGAATCTCTCATTGAAAAAACATATTTTCTTGAGAAAGAGAAAAAGACACATGAAAAATTAAGAAAAGAAATAGAGGTAAGTTTTTATTATCTGGATTTTACTATTTTATGGACTCATTTCTTTCTTTCTTTCTTTTAATTGTGCTTTAGGTGCAAATTTACAGAGCAGAATTTTACATTCAACATTTTGTATAAATTTGGTTTCACTCCCAAATTACCATCCTCAACCCTAACCCACTCTCCTCTCCCTTCCCAGTAAACCCCCTCACACCCCATGCCCTTCTTTTTTTTAATGCATTTTATTGAAATATAATTTATTTATAGTGAAATATACAAAACTAAAGTGACAAGGATCAATGCATTT